GTGTCACTTGTAGCCTACGCCATAGGCCCGCATCTTGATGACATCACCAAAGTGCAGACTTGGAGGAGAAGACCCTACCAAATGTTCTGTTAATTGTTCTTCAGGCTTTTTATAACTATAACTTTTAACGTATGGACAGGGACTGTGCAATGGTCCAAGTCTCCTCTCATTAATGTTTACGTCCTGACGAGTCTGCTGTTTTCCCTGTAATTGTGTAGCTCTGATAATGACTTTTTAAAATCAAACTCACAGATGATAGTCTTCAGAATGGCATGAGGGTAAACATGTCTGAAAGAGGTGTATTGAGAGTGATTCCAGCTTAGGCATCAGTAAGGCTAACTATCAGTGCAATAGATAGATAGATAGATAGATAGATAGATAGATATATGACAGCTGTCTAAATGATAGCTTTCTTGTAGTAGTGTAGTGCAATGTTCATCTTCCGAATCTGTGAATTACGGTATTGATTTTTTAATGTATTAGTCTAATACAGTGACTGTATAATGCCATTTTGTATTGCTCGTCTGAGAATTACAAATGCTTTCTTTCTTTCTGTGTACAAACATGTCTACAGTTATAATGTAAGATAATGTACAGGTACCCTAAGGTTTTACTGAAATTTACTCCCTGATGTGCCACTGGGTACGACTGAGACACAGCAGCATTACAAAGCATCAGTCTTAACCTTTCGTGCTTTGCTCTGCGATGTCAGTGATCATTAAGTTTAAGATATAACAGCACACACACACCAGGGCATTCACACTATCAATTACACTGGCACATTACAGCTTTTATGATGTATGTTTGGCTCTTGTTACAGTTTTAGAGAGGAGTAAATGAGTCACCAATATTCAAGCTATAAGTGCTTTTTCTGAACATGATGCACATGCTGTATATGCCAGAATCTGATGGATCTGAGGATCTGATGTTTAATATAGCAGGAGACCAATCCACTGGGAATATGTCGAACTGATAAATATGATAAAAGGACCGCAAAATGATAAAGGAAAAGAAATGGAGAGAAAAGACTAAAAGATTTAGAAATGTTTTATATGTTTTATTAATAACATTGCCTTGAATTTTTGGAACAAAACAGAGGTGAAGTGGCCAGTCTGTAGAAAAACCCATCAAAGATGCTTTCACTGCATGCACTCAAATTACATCCATACTACCTACACCTCATTTTAATACAAACTGTTTGTTTTGACCTTTATTATGGCCACTCGTTGTAGGGTGTGTTGCTGTGCATATTGATCAGTTGACCATGATACATACATGTAGACTATACCTGTGCTAGAAACTCAATAACTTACCTAAATCCCCTGGAAGTCTTGCTTCTCTGACAAGTCCTTTCAAGCCTCTTCTATATTTTTTGTTCTGTGCTTTTAACTCTACCAATACTTGGTTTCAGTGGTTTCAGAGATGATAGAAAAGAGTGAGTGGCACAAAACCTCTTTTCCCACAGGATATAATGGAGTCTTTACCAACATGGGACTTTGTAGGGGATGTACAGAGTTATCCTTCCAGGCATGTGCACGTGCAGTCCATAAAAATGACTGACATGACGAATTCAGGCAGGTAATAATTACATTAGCCTAATCTCACGAAGACGTTACCCAGATTACAAACCAATGTTGGCCCAATGTCCTCCATTCTGTTGTGCAACGTTGGGCTAATCATTTAATTACAGGCCAACAAACTTTCAGCCTCCTTTAAATCAACTCTACCAGCAGTCAAAATCGAAAGAATTTTACCGATGTAATGCTGTCCATGGGGCCAACATTTGTGCAATGAATTAATTACAAGTGTCAACACATTTTCAGCTACCTTTTCAACATGGACCTACAGTTAAAGTTCTATTTATAATTAAATTTTTTTAGATAAAAGCTGTCACTGTCAGATTATATATCAAATATCTCAGGAGATTGCGGTAAAGGGCCTTTTATTTGACTATTCATATCATGGAATACTTACCATTGATACAAAACAGCCTCCGGCTGTGGTAGTGCATGTGTTTTTCTCCACCAGTATCAATGCTATAACGAATTAATGCTGAATGTGTAGTTGAATCTCCTGAGTATTTTGGGGTGAATGCAAAGAGAAATGTTACAGCTGTGGAAACTTTTGGTGAGTTACACTGACCTTTGATAGCATTTGCAGGGTATAACCAGTAATTATTATTTAAGGATATATTTTAAATACTCAATGCAGTGAGTGAGAAGAGTTCTGTCAGCAAGGCCTTTGTCAGCAAGGCCTAATGTTTCATTCCGCTCATTTAAACACTGTTAGAACATGTTAGAGCTTGCCTCATCTGATTTCCAGCTTGAAATGTGAATCATTCCATAAATAATGTCTCATGTTTGATATACAGTAAGGGGAACGCCAGGGAAATCTGAGTCTCATTCTCAGTGGAGCTTCATTTCAGCTGCATTAGAATTCAATAATGTATTTTAATTTTATATATATGTAGGTACTGTAGAAACCATAACCATAAGAAACCACGTGTTTCCATGTATGTGTTTCCATATAGTGCCTCATTTAGTGGGTTTTTGTTTGAAACTCATACCAAATCAAAAAGGCTGTGCAGTAGAAGATAAGCTTGCTAAATTTAGAAGCTACAGAGTGTGTTAATACAATTACAATTATTTGTCACTGTCATTAAAGATATATGGTCATGTGTTACATTTCTTCAACATGGCCCTATAAACAAGTAGCAGATGTAGACCTGCCTTTCCTCTACAGCCCAGCTGAAAATGCAAACCACAGTGACTTCTAAGGAACGAAGAAAAGTGGGCATGCATGGTTTGACATATTAGATACGTCCGTCAAATCAAATTAATCCATTATAGCATGGGCTGGTTACAAAATCATGATTCTATTCTTAAACAGAAAGCAGATACATAGCCTAATTCCATTTTTAATTTTCTTCAGAGGAATGAGCATACAGTGGACTCCAGGATAAAATGCCCAATTACCAGACAAAATATGAAAGGCATGTGATGGACACATAGCCAGAAGCATCTGCAGTCAGGCACTCAAACTGCAGATGGCCATGAGGTATTAATATTCCAGACCTCATTCACTTGACCCTCATGGCACATGAAGGGGAAAATCTTAAAAATGGATGGTAGAACAGTCAGACACTGGAGCGCTCATACACATTATAAATCATAGATCATTCATCTTTAAATGAATATAGGTAAACATGAGAACTTTTTCACTGCATCCAGCAGTTCCAAAATGATCAAAGAAGATTTGTATATTATAAGTTGTATATTATCTGGGAATTAAATCAGAGTTAAAGTGATCAAGTTAGACAGGGAATAGTAGTGGCCAGAGAGCCATTAGAGCACAGTCTATGGTATGCTCAAACACAAATGCACCCATCCTCACATATCAAGCATATCCATTTCCAACATGTGTCATCTGGACGGGAGTCCCCGCCACATTCCTCACTCGTTTTCACCATAAACATGTCCCACTCTTTCCCCCAAGAGGCCTGTAAGAATGGCTGTCTGACCACTCTTCCCCCTCTTTATGTCTCACTCTAATCAAAATTAATCTAAATGCATTTTAGACCAACCTTTCCCTGTGTACTTAATTATAACCTGTTTACTGGTGCTCTTGAACATGCAGTTTTAAAGAGGAATTTCATGAAAACATCAGCAATATAAGCACATGCATTATCTATTATTTTAACAATTTATGTTTAAACAAAAGTAATGTTCCACTGTTAGTGTATTTCATTTGTTTATTTAAAGTTGTGGATAGATGGAGTCTACATGGTACTTGATTCACATGCTGGTCACATGCAGAACTGCTGTATATGTGGCTATAGGTTTTGAAATGGATGGTTATTTATTTATTTATACCATTTTACAGTTCTCTATAGGTTTATTTTGCTTTGATTAATGTTGCCATTTCATGTCACACAAAACTTCTTCAAGCACTTTTGACATAAACTGAAGTCCTTCCAGAAATGGAGTCCTTATATACTGTGCAGGACAGGCTACCCAATTCAAATTGTCTGTGACTGTCATTCATTCAGCGAGCACTGAGCTTCATTTATGTGCTTTCTCTATTGGTCAGAGGTGCAGTCAAAGAAATACACCTGATACAAAACCATAAAAACTTCAAAACTTCAAAAGAAGGACAGCAGTTACTGTCCTATTCTAGATTTGAGAGGGCTAAACTGGATGCTAAAGACCCTACCTTTCCATATGCTATGGTTTTCAGGACAGATTGGTTTACATTGCCTCAGAAGACAGATGCTTTTTAAAGTTTACTTTCAAGGACAGATGTTCCAATTCAACCCATGTTCTACCCTTTAACCTCGCCCTAGCGCCACAGGTTTTCAAAATATATGCAAGTAGCCTTGTCTCTGCTGATGGCCAGAGGCATCATGATATTGCTGTACTTGAATGACTATGTGCCCCCTTCAACAAACAGGCCATTTAAGACATGTCCAACCTCATTGCACACATTGTGATGCTCAGAAAAGAGCTCTTTGCTACTAGAAGAGGCCACACAATTCATTGGCATAAAAGTAGTGTGTCTGAAAATGCTAACCACCCTGTCATCCCAATTTGTGCCAAATGTTATTATGCTTGCCAATCAGATTCAGCCAGGATGTTATGTGCAGTACAGGCTCCTGTTGGAGATGCTAGAATTGATAATGGCAGCCACAGTGGTAATCCAGCTGTTGCAATGCAGTTGCAATGAGAGGGGGATAGGCTCTTGCTTGCTGAAGATGCAGGCTTTTCTAACCAAAGGGGTCTGCTTGGGAGCAGTGTTCCATTGGAGAAATGCTTCCCTTACAGGCTGGGGAGAAGTGTACAGCCAGAGGAGTGCAGGGGCAAGTGGCCTACTGAGGTAAAAATAGAACACATCAATCAGCTACATTTACATCATTTGGCAGATGCCCTTGTCCAGAGCAACATACATTTATCTCGTTTCATTCAACTGAGCAGCTGAGGGTTAAAGGCCCAGCAGCAGAAGCTTGGCAGTGCTGGGATTTGAACTCATGACCTTCTGACTGGTAGTCCAACACTAACCACTGAGCTACCACTGCCCTACAGAAGTGAAAATCAATCCACCTGACCCATTAAGTTCTTTTTACCAGTTCTGAGACTTCACAATTTGTTGTACAGAAAACATTGTGGTGCTCAGCTACATTAACCTTAAGGGTTGCATGAGAGTGAGCAGCTCTGATAGAATCTCCTCAGGTGGGTCTAACCACTTTTAATCTCATTAAAGACAACACATTTGCTGGACCTATAAAACACTGCCCCACTGGGATATGCTGCACTGGCCCATGACTGGCCTCACTAACTGTTATAAGCTTTACCTCCTCTACTGCTGATTCTTCTCACATTGCACAGAATTTAGTAACAAGGCCACAACAAGTCTAGCTCATGGCCTCTAGATGGCCGGCAAGAACTCAGTTTTCATTACTGCTTTTGCTGATGGTTGGAATGCCCTGGAGGCTTCATCCCTAATAAGATTTGCTGTCCCAAATAGATGGAGAGGTTTGGCACATTTACATGAAACACCAACTCAAGACTGCAACTCAGCAATCCAGGAATGTGCCTGTTATCTTAGCACACCACAGCAACCTGGAGGGCATCTCTGTCTAGCTCCTTCATCCACCACTTTCCAGTCTGGCATGGAATCTCTTACTTGAGCTGGAGACTCTTAAGACCCTTCCTATGACCAAGATGCAAACTGAAATGGGTGTCTCTGAAAACTGCCTTTCTGCTAGCAATTGGCATGCATTAGTGGTTGAATTTGGGATTTCAGCCCAATAATCACATAATCAACTGACTTTGCAGTGTTCCATGAAAACATTCTTACTGTGGATGTCGCCATCATGGCGTCTAGAAGGGTTGGACCCCCACCTTGATGTGCAACTCTATGAGGAGTGTCTCTTCTTAATGGACATTATATAGAGACATGCTGCTCCCGGAAGTATGTGCTGCTGACCTGGGGAGGGTTCAGCCAGAAGATTCCAGGGAAAGATGACTGCATGCCATCTGAATTTATTGAAAATACTGTGCAAAATGTAACTTTATGACTTTGTTTGAAGGTCTCTGCATGCATGTCCACACTGTCTGGGGTTAAAAGAACCACAACTATATGTGTAACTAATGTTACTTTCACTACAGCACTCCACTGCCTCGCATTTAAACATAACATTTTGAGTAAACTCGATGACTCGAGAGACATGACATAGGATGTGTTATACAGAAAACAGCCGAAAACTTCTGTTCTGGGGTACTTTAAGTTGTTCTAACCTAACCGACCTGATCTTGCACATTTTTCAAGAATTCTAACAAGCGAGAGTGATTTTGTTAAAATGAAGCCGTAAATAAGTGCAATCTGTAACCATGCAAATTCTTAAGAATTTGCAAATATATGATTGTTTTCACCATAACAACAGAGCAATGGATGCAGTTTAGATATCCTGTCTGGGAATGTGTATTATGATCCCTCCATATGCAGAATGTTGTGGCTCGACCTCTGCCTTGTGTCTGTCACTACACACCGGTGCTGATATCTCCTGTGGCTGCTAAATCCACAGCTGGTCTGCTCACATTCTCCCTGGTGTCTGGGCCATATCAAGAAACCAATCAACAGAAACCCAAGCCTAATACTTCACTGGCTGTAAAATATGTGCACACATATAGGCTGACACACACACACACTTGCACACCCTCACACACAGTACTTTACTACTAATGCTGGCCTTCACTTCCCCCCTTGCGTGCAGTTTGAATAATGGATGATCAGACCTAACATTAGCGCTGAAAGCCACAATCATTTCATTTCTGCCGAACATAGCTCATTGACTCAGAGACATTCATTCTCTACTTGTCCTTGCTTGAAAGCATGTGTGTGTGTGTGTGTGTGTATTTTAATTTGTCTAAGAGATTACAGAAATTAAAGGACTTAGCACCATAAAAAAACTAGAATAAAAAATTTGGTGATATTCTGAACTGCACGTGAGGACGTGAATGAATGAGACTCACAGGCTCAAAAGACTCAGAAGACTCATAAGCCAAATTTTTCTTCTTACCTTCTAATGATCTGATGCACATTTTCCTTTTATTACATCCAGAATCATTACACCAGGCCAGACAGCTATAGAAAATATTTTGGCTTCATATGTGAAATAATATGTCTTTATCCACCTAAGCAGGTACTAGCATTCATCTTATTATAAATGGTGAATTATGATGGGAGTAGTATATCAGAAAGTGCAATCTTGGAATCTGGAGCCTATCTTTGGAACAATGGATATGAGGCAGTATGAGGTAGTATAGCTGGATGGATGGGACACACATTCAAACAATTTAGAGTTTGGGCAATTTAGAGTTCCCAAAACACCTACCAGCATGTCTTTGGGAGAAACCCATTGAGGACAAGATTGACGTGGGGACCCTGGAGCTGTGAGGCTACAACGCTACTCCCTGAGCCATTGTGCACCCCACCTTTGAAATCTGGGCATGTAATAAATAAATTGTGTTTCACGATTTTCAGAGAAACACCCTTTTCCTAGCTAAATATGGTATAAGATGGATATCTATTCATTTCTGATTCAATGAACATGTCAGGTTAAGAATCAAAAGCCCAAACTCTTTAAATGCAGAGATACCCTGATGCTCCATTTAATGAAAGCAGATAAGTCTTTGTGTGAACTGTTGAATATAGCAGCACACAGGTACACTTCATAAGCCTCAGGAGCCCAAAGGCTAAAGCTGTAGCCTCTGCAGGCTGTTCTTTCACTACAGGGATCCTCTGTACAAAAGTTCACATGGGGTCCTCTGCACCAAAAACCTGCTATTTTCAATAATTTATGCACCTTTATTAGCTTGCCTCTGCCAGTTTTTCAGAGGCATTTGGTATTCTCTGATAAGGCAGCCCATGGATGTGTGCAATTATTAATACCACTCAAGCTTGGTCTATAGGCACTTCTCACTCACCTTCCATCTGCACAAAAGTAGTGCAGACTGGAAAACATTAGAGGTGAAAGTTTCTTTGCACTTATCTTCATCTGCAGCACTCAATGTCACTTTCAGTAGTGCTGAATATCAGCATTATGCAAATATACTTAGTAATCAATTCTGATAGCGAGACAAGACCGTAAATATACTGCCATATAACCTCATTAGGACAACAAGCCTCCAATCTTTCAGATCACTAGCTGTACAGCAGTAGCATATAATCCTCCATTAAACAATTTAGGAGGCCAATTCTCCCTCACTAACTGGCTTACTGACTTCAGTTGGCTTAAGTATTATATAATGGGACATCTTCAAATAAGCTAACAATGAGCTTAACTGTGCTAGCAAGTTTTGCACAAAGTCAGGGCTCATTTCAATTTATTTTTTGTGATGAAATGCATGTGACACAGCTGACCCAGGGAAAGGAGGTATTTGGGTCACACAGCCCATTAGGATTAGTGATTGTGCTCTCTGTGTTTGCTCTGAAGATTTAACTAGTGAATGAGGAGATGAAAGTAGAGCTCTGAGGCTACTAAGCTGCCTATGCTCAGCACCTCACATCACATAGGCAGGATTGTCATACAGCAGGGCCCTTCAAAGTCCAGCCGCAAACAGCTCCTTCCTCTAATATCTCCCACATAAAACCTGTACTCAGCTTGGTGTTGAGGAAGTAAAAATGAACTTTTTCTATCAGTGTTCTGATCCACTGCATCAGTAATCCGATTCACACACCATGAAAACTCAAACGCTGTGCAAGGCAATGCTCAGAGCTATTATATAAAACAATATTAGCCCACATGTGTAAGAGTCTCTAGCTCTCAACGCAGTGTAGAACGGCTAAGACTCTTCCGGGAGCGCTGAAGTAGCCATTGTACTGGTCTTTTCCAGCCAGGACAAGCTAGAATTTAGCTGAGCATGATAATACTGTCCCAGTGAAATATGAGTACATGGTGTTTCTTGGTAATTGTGAGCCATGGTGCTCACTCAGTGTTAACTATAACTCAGAATATGCATAATATCACTCTTCTTTGCTAGCGAGTCTATGAATAGGCTCATTAATGCCTGAGGACTTTATATGTACTTTATATACTTTATATGTGCTTCATATAAAAATCTGCTTTGTAGGTGCTGTATAGGCATAGCCTAAGGAGAAACAAAAGTGTACATAGAGGTTCTATCAGTTATAAGAGACCTTATACTGCCTTTGAAAATCAAACAAATTCAGTGCACATTTGGTTATAATTACTTTTTGGGTGTCAAGCAAAGTACACAAGTATGAACCATGCCATATGTTCACACATTTTAGTTTAAAAATAGCTGCTCCTTACAGTTCATACAATGTATTTCTTTTCTAACCTGGCTGGTTCCTACATCTTTTCTGGACACATGAGCACTATGGTGTGTGTACTCACATGCTCACGTGCACATTATTTTTTAAGCAAGAGCATTTGCCTCCAACAGGGACAAAAAGGCACCACAAAGCCACCTTCACCACTGAATTATTTAGCAAGGCTGGGACGTGGAAATACACTCAAACTATCTAATGAGTTACAGAGCGTGCTAGGACACACATGCACACAAATTCAAATACTCTGCCTTATCAAGCTTCAGTGTTTAATACTATAATACTATAATAAATGATTAGGTGACATAAGCCGCCCCATGTAAAGGATGTATAAAGACAAAGTACAAATTTATTCTCATTTTGCATTTATTCTGCAAGCAGTTATAGCTCAATAGAAGCGAAATACTCTGATTTGCAGAGATGGGTTTGCTTCACCAGATTATCACACCCACTCCAAGTAAAGCAATGGAGTGGCTCTTAAATTTATCAGTGAGGTTATTGCTCCCTCTAGTGGTTAACATGTAACAACAGCTTAATCATCCCTTGAGCCTTTGTCTAAATAAGATATTAAAGCTGGAGACTGATTAGACCCATTTAATGAACAACAAGGACCTAAATAATGAAGAATCCAGAAGGGCGAGTAATTATTCTCCACAGTTTAGTTATGCATGTAGATCCTTTCACAGCTACAACAGGATTTTTTGTATGCCATTTGCATACCCTT